TATGGGGCTCTAGTAGGTCAAAATCTTCTCAACCCTTCGGCAAAGGTTGGAACGCCCCTTAGACCAGAAGGTTCTGTCCATTTGCTGGATTAGAAGGGAGCCCTTGAGTCAGTTTAAACACAGCTTTTCTATGTCAAAAGCTCTTTCTTTGTCCGCTGGTTTCTGGAAAACCAATTTGATCCCGTAGATGCAATTTTTAGACCCACAGTCCAAGCCTTGCGAGCCCAAGTCAGCTGACGTTGGCCAGCCATGCCGCTAGTGTTTTATTGCAGGGTAGATGTGCCATTAGTCTAGTTTTCTAATTGTCTGTCTTGATGGAATACTGTAGGGAATGCTCCTGCTCTTTATGTACTGATGTATGGATGATCCCATGAAATATCCAGTCCCAGCAATGTTGTGACTGTATTTACTGCATTTCTTATAGGGTCCTATTTCTCATTCCAAGGAACTTCCAGAAGTCCAATTGTTTCAAGGAACAGTGAGGAGTTGGTTTTGGGGACAAAGAGCTGATTTAGTAGTTCTTTTGCTCTTCTGATAAACTTCTAGCTATGGCTCCAGTGGACCCATTTGTGTTGAGTTTCCTGAGATTTTATCTTTTACTTAGTTTACTCTCAATACACAGAATGAGATGGGGAATGTGTGAGCATGAGGTGGGGGGTTGGAAGGCTATTATTTGTGGACTGTTAGTTTGTGTTGCATGGATTTTTTAATGAACTTTTTGTACATGCAGCCAATGCTTTGGATCAGTGGTTCCAAAACTTTAACAACCTGTGAACTCCTTTCACTAAAATGTCAAGTCTCGTAACCCCCCTCCTAAAAATGAATATTTCCAGGGATTTTCTCCTTTACTTGGGTATAAATTATAAAAGCAGTGATCTTGGAAATATAAAATTTGTTTTTATGACAAGCTTGTTACACGCTATTATTATTATTATTATTTATTATTTATCATTACAGTGTTTTTATTACTTTATGAAAATGGCAACACTCTTCCAAGATCTCACTTTTGTCACTTGTATCATTTTGAATAAGCCTCTTATAAGACAAGGCTCCTATGTTTCATCAAGGAGTATCAGATGTGAAACAGCATGAAGGTATTTAAGAAGCCAACTCAAAGAGTTCCTCCTACACAAGCATTCAGGTCTTGAGCAGTCCAGGCAAACAACGCACGTTACAACAAAGCTTAAACTTGTTCTTCATAGTAATTTTAAAAACAATACTAGCTGTCTATTTAATTTTAAAAATAGCAAAAAATATCCACCTCCCTTTCCATTTCTTATAAGGAGTCTTGAAGTTTAAATCTCCTCAGCGTGATAGATATGCTTGCTTTGATCTGCTTAGCTCTTGGAAGTCCAGGGGCTCTAGGCTGCTGACCCCAAGTTGTCCCTGTCCCTAGGGACAGCTCTGTCCACCATTTAGGAATTTTTTTTCACGAGAACCCCCTGTAACATTTCGCGAACCCCCAGGGGTTCACGAACCCCAGTTTGGGAACCGCTGCTTTGGATTGATTAACTTTAATTAATTGATATATTGCATATATTGAAATTTGGGGCCCAATCCTGTAGTCCTCAGGGTTTTGTGGACATTCTCCAAAGGTACATTATAGATATTAAAAACAAGTAAACTTTGTAAAGTATAAGAATAAAAATTATGTATTGTCAACTGTTTAATATTAAAATAGCATTCTCTTCTGTTGCTTAAAAATACCCTTTAATAAAAGTTGGAAGATGCCTCGTACTGTAGTTTGAAATCATTAGGCAGCTGCTCTGTTTCATACATATTAATTTAGAGACAGTTTCTTTTTATATAGTAAGTAGTTGATTGTTTTAAATAAGGGTTGCTAAACTTTTTGATTAATGTTCACTTGATGGCTTTAAATAGTTAAGAAGAAAATCCTTTTCTTATGTTCCTGAAGAGATTAGCATTACACATTTATTTTGTCCATTTAGGTTAGAATTGCTGATTGTGCCTTTTTGTTTTCACACATATTTTGAAAGTTTTTGTATTATTTGTCCCATTTGTGTGAGTTCAGACCCACTGTGCTCTTTTTCTTAGGACCTGTCTGATAGATTCACTGTGTGTTTGGGCTTACATTGGTTAAAATAATTAACCAATCATCAGGGCCAGCGCAACCCATTAGGCGACCTAGGTGGTCGCCTAGGGCGCTACAATTTGGGGGGCGGCGACCGCGGCGGTATTTCGGCGGCGGGACCCTCCGCTGCCTCTGTGGAGGGCGGCATTTCAGGGCGGGACCTTCCGCCGCCTAGGGCAGCAGAAAAGCTGGCAGCGCTCCTGCCAATCATTAAATTAATAACAGACTGAATTTTGCACTTCCTATCCCCTGCTTCCTGGTTGGCGGCAGAGGCTAGTTTAATTTCTCTCTGACGCAACAAGCAGAAGAGAATAAGGGCTTGTCTGCACTAGAAAATTGTATCACTTTAACTATACTGGTAACTTTCGCACTCCCTCGTCAGTGTGGATGCAATTGCGTGTAGTTGGCAGAATTCAATTTTTATTTTTATTTTATAATTTTGACTGATAATATAGAGGTTTATTAAGCATTTTAAAAGATTTTTCTCTCTTTAAATTTTCAGTCCTACAAAACTATGGGTTTAAAATATTTTTTCTATTTTTATCAGTTTTCACAGTTGTGGGAAATTATGGGTGATCAGAGAATTATTTAATGATAGATGTTAAGATTCAAAAAGCTTTATAACTTACCTTTGTCTCTCTCATAGCTACATACAATATAGATATTATATATTTTTCAAAGTGGGCCAGCCATTATCTCCCTCTATCTTCATCTCTTCCCCTTTATCCCAAGATTTTGGAAATACTGTATCCTGAAACCCTGAAGTATAATTTGGACTGTACTGTATGTGTACCTTAACATTTTCATAAACTGAGATCAAGACTTTTGTCTCTAAAACTTTAAATGGTATAAATTCATTAAATGGGTAAGGCCTTAAGATACTGGTTCATTCAGTGCTCTTTGTCAAATTCTATCTCTGGGGGTCTGATCAGTGCTTTGCTTCTGCAATTCAGCGATTAGCTTATCTATGATAACATTGTTTACAAAAGCTGAGCTGTTGACTAAACTTTGCTGCAAGTAAGTAATTTGCTAGATTTAGGGTAGTAGGTGTAACTGTAGCAAGGTATTTTCTAGACTTCTTGTACTTTGAAAAGTAAGTTGGCCTATAACACTTTGGTCTCTCCATATTTGTGTTGCATTCATGAAAACGTGCAGTTTATAAGTTTTAACTGTATTCTAAATATTGTTATGAAGATTATATATACACTACAGTAGCATGTATAACATTTTCCTCTTGTGAACATATAGTCTGTGTTTGCAACTTCTCATGATAGGATTGCTTTTTCTCTCATGTACAAAATTATGTGCAAGTCTAAAGATTATCATAGATGCAATATCTTGAACTTTTATTTTGGTGAGATTTTTTTCTGTGACTATTGTAAGGAATTTATAAAGGCGTAAGTTTATAAAGCCTACCAATCTGCAGGCTCTTAGAAGTTATAAGAACAGTGCTTAGTAGCTAGAGTATATTACAACAGCCTGTAAATTGCATCTTTCATTGAGTGCTTGGTGCAGTCTTTTGCTCTGAGATAAATTTCACAGTATCTGAATGCTTAGGGTATGTCTACACTGCAATTAGACTCCTGCAGCTGAACCATGCCAGCTGAATCTGGCGCCTGGGGTTTAGGCTAAGGGGCTGTTTAATTGCAGTGTAGATGTTCAGCCTCTGGCTGGAGTCCAGGCTTTAGTAACCTGCAAGGTATTTGCAGTGTAGACATACTCCGTGTGACACATTCTACTGCTAGGTGCATCTCATTGATTTGGAAGGGAGTTGTGTAAATACATCCAAGGTCAGAATTGGCCACTACATTAAAGGGCTTTGCGGGGAATCAGGGTGAGAATTTTGCTGTTGAGAGTATTCTGTACAGCTGGCTTGCACACACATGCTGCAGTGATTTTTTTACTGTGGTTACCAGAATTTATATAATTCTAGAGTTACAACTACAACCTATGAAGGTGCAAAATTGTGACATTGCCTCTGTATTTGGAACTGGATTTTTTTTTTTTTTTTTTTTTTTTTTTGAAACCAGAGTAGTATTTGCACTGATTCTGAGTAAATTAGAGAACAGATACATATTTTCCTGGAGTAAAAATGATTAATACATTGATCCAAAATAGGAGATGGAAATAGTGTTTGGGGAGAGAGATTAAATTTCACCTTACTTTTTACCTCATGGGTGACGGTAATTTAATATAAACTTTTCTGCCCCCTTACATGTGAATGTACATTAACCTGTGATGATGTAACTATAGGATATAAGTCTACAGTGCAATGTAAACCTCGGCTTAGTAGAACTCAAGTTATCCCATGTCAGGAATTGTTGAACCCTGGGTCCCATCCTGGGGTTGCAGTGTCTACACTGCATTATGCAGGCCTGAGTCTAGCCACCCATTTCCAAGACTTTCTAGTGCCCTCCCAAAATGTGACTGCTCTAGTCCTTTTTGTGTGCAGTGCAATGTAGGAGAACTTGACTGTCCACCAAACTTGAGTGTCCAGAGGACCAAAAAAGTCAGCCAGCAGGACTGTGGGATACTGTTGGTAGACTCCCAGAACACGAGTCCAGTGGGGCTGCATCTACACTGCAAAGCAATAGGGCTTGACTTAAGCTCTGGCTCTCCATCCTTATGGAGTCCTAGGACCCTGGGTCTGTGCCCTGGGTCAGTGTAATTTGTGTGTAGACAGAAGGAGGGTTAGGTCTGAACCTGAGTTTGAACCCTGGGCTTCCACTGAAGTGTAGACATACCCACAGAAAGTAGGGCTTTTACCCACAGTCCATTGTGTATTCAGTAATTTGGAAAGACATTCCTATTGACTTCAGTGTATTTTGGGTAATGCCTTAAAAGTAAAATTTTAAAACATTTACAATATACTGTATATTGATTTGTTGTAATGTATTTTTTTTAAAAGCTTCAGAATCTTCAAGGAGACCAAACCTAGGACCTGTGGTGTTGACAGTGATAGTTACTGTGCCAGTTTGTATCTTGTCTATAGCTGTAATGCTGATTGTATATACATGTCAAGGCCGTCATTGTACATTCGGAAAGAAGAAGCGACAAAATATTGAAGAACCTCTATCTGAGTGCAACCTTGTAAACTCTGGAAAAACTCTTAAAGATCTTATTTATGATATGACAACATCTGGGTCTGGATCTGGTATGTATGCACTCCTAAGCACACTAAAACTTCTATATTTATTAATGAATAGCCAGGAGAACAGAATCACAACATTTTGTTCAGTTTTCTTAGTTCAATAGGCGAAGTGATGGCAGTTAAAGTTTCCACTGTCAAGTACAGTACTATTGGTTTGTGTGGGTATTCCTAACACTTAGAATGGGAAGTACTACTAGAACCTATAGTATCTTTCTCATGATAAAGAGATTAAAAAACTGTGCCCACTGCGTGAAATGTGTTGCCTTATGGAAAGAAATTTGTGTCATAGCTTTAGGAGTTTGTCAAGACAAAGTATTGCCTAAAGAGATTTTCATGTTCATCAGGGTAATTGCATGGTATGATGAGTCAACTGATGTGGGGATCTTGTTAAGTTAAAGTGATATGAAAAGATGCCACAATGCAAACTCCATACTTCATAATTATCATATTGGGCTCTTGGCTGTATGGGCCAGATTTCTGTAACTAGAATGGTTTATTTAGAATTGAAAATAAACAGTGCTTAAGAAAACCAGAATTAATAAAACATATATTTTAGACAGCTCTTTGTTGAGTGCAGTCAATAGACTTATGCCTTGTCTACATTGGGGATTTGTCACAGTTACAGCCATCTTTGGCTAGTTAGTTGTGTAACTATTATTGCAAACCCCTAACAGAGAGAAAACCACAACATACACTGGTGCAGCTTAGCACGGTTTCAAACAAATAGTGCTTTTGCTTATTCATATTATAGGGTGTTCTTCAGTAGCTGCCCACTCATGGCTGTAATGGGGGGCAAATCTTGTGTGTAGGTAAGGCCACAGCTGTTATGGCGTAAGAGTGGGATACAGGGGTAACAGGGAACAGCCAGAAGAAAGATAATCTGAACCAAGTTAAAAATTACAGTTGTTTAAACCTAAATGTCACTGTTTCTAAGAACAGGCCTTTGATACTATTCCTATGGAAAGATTGGAATACTTGGTACAAAATGTATTAACACATTAGAAGCATTCTTATGTGTACTTCCTACAAAAATATAGTTTTTCGTTGAGGTTAGTTGGATTAATGCTGCCAGAAGAGAGTGGATTTTTTTGATAATTCAAGAGAAATCTGACAATAAACCAAGTGAAGCAGGAGTCACCGTTAGATGATCCAAACAATAATAGAATTTAAAGGTACTTTGTAAGCTTCTTCTTTTTGTATGCATGTTTATGTTTATCAAGGATAAATGTCCTAAATTCAAAGGTCAGTCTCATGATGGTGATTATTGGGTGTTTCTTGAGCAAAACAACCAAAACTGTGTTGAAATAAATATAGCTTTAGATTACTAAAACTGCTTAATTCTAGCTCCAAAATAAAACCAGTTTTTCATTCTTTTATTATAGGCGGGACAGGTAGCACCTCCTATTATTAAGGTAGCCCGACTCTTCCCATTATAAGACCCAGTTTTTGGTTGCTTATAGCTTTTGCTCAATTTTAATAATTTTAGGCTGAAATTTTCCATGTTGGGTATCTGGGTATCCATTCAGGCTGATTTATTGGAAAATTGTAGCCAAAATGGTTCAGCCATTTCCAAGAAGGCGGCTAGGGAAAAATACATGGTTTTGCCCATGTTTTTTTTTTTAAAATGTGGCCCTCTTTATTTATTTTATTTTATTTTATTTTATTTTGAAAGCTCTAGCCCCCTTCTTCCCACCCTCCAGTTTGTAGCAGGGACTTAAAATTTGGCAGGGACATGGCCTTTATGTGAGGGACATGCCTTTTCCATCCCCTTCAAAATCCATCCTCATTTAGCTAAGTTAAAATTGTAATTTGCACATACTCAGAGACTTAGATTTTAGCTACTAAATTCTCAGGAGATTGTGTGTCACCGAGCATGCTATCCTCTGTGGCCAAGCAGGACTTTCCCTGCAGTTGCAGTTTTGGGATATGTTGCAGGCCATGCTGGTCTGGGCACCTGCACTGAGAGCAGGAAGACTGTTTCTCTTTTGCTCTCAATGACTTCCCTACTAGGCCCAGGCAACATGGAGGAGGAAGCTGCTTGATCTGAATACAGGGGGGACAAGAGCTGGACATGCCAGAGTGACAGGGGGAGAAAGTTGGGAGATGGAGTTTTGTAGGGGAGACTGGCACTGGAGGCTGCTGGAGAGAGAAAATTTTCCTTTTCCCCACCAGGACACAACCAAGACCTTTTTGAAGATTTTTGTGAAAAATGAGGCAGGCAGGCAGACAAGCCCCATCTCCAGAATAGCCATCAGGTTGGTGGTTAGGGCACTCACTAGGGATGTTGAAAAGGCAGGTTTAAGTCCCTACTCTAAATGAGGCAGAGCAGAGACTTGAACCGTTCTCTCTGGTTTTTGATGAGAAATTCCATCCCGGACATGAGAAACCTTTCTCTGTGAACATTTTGTTGCAGCTGGTATGTATCCATGAAAAGTTTAGGTATCAACAAATCAGTGTTTTCTGCTGAAAAGCCGTTTGATTGAAATATTACTGACCAGCTTTACTTATTTTTGAGCCAAATGATTTACTGCATCAGCATGCTGCTTCACTGCTGCTTCAGCATGTGGATGTCTGGAGTTAGTAACATCGCTAGGATAGTTTAGAGCAAGAAGTCATGCTTATCCCTATGTCCATATGTGGAAGGTTGCTCACATTCTTATACTAAAGATTCAACTGAAAAATCATAAAGAACCATAACAATATACATACAGTTCAAGGAATGTTTCAGAGGTAGACTTACAATCCCTCACTCTGACAAGGATTGTGCATAATTCATGCCATCTATGTTTATCCACTTTTGTTAGTCAGAATTGGAAAAAATAGTCACAAGAAAGTGTGTGTATGTTACTTGTAAGGCCATGGTAATTACAACATATTAGAATATATGTTTTTAATTTGAATTTAATAATAATTGCTAATGCACTCTTTTACAAGTATCCTCATTCTGTTCATTAGGTTTACCTCTACTGGTCCAAAGAACAATTGCAAGAACAATTGTTCTTCAAGAAATAGTAGGAAAAGGCCGATTTGGTGAAGTCTGGCGTGGAAAATGGTGTGGGGAAGATGTAGCTGTGAAAATCTTCTCCTCGAGGGATGAAAGGTCTTGGTTTCGTGAGGCAGAAATCTATCAGACAATTATGCTGAGACATGAAAACATCCTGGGTTTCATTGCTGCTGATAACAAGGGTATATAGTATTTCCAAACATAGTTTCACAATGTTTGTTCTCTGCACTATGGCAGCCCAATGAAATTGATTTTTCCACAACCTCTGCTCTAATTTGCTAAAACACAGGGATGTGTTTTTAATGATTTGAGGAGCTGATTAGGAAAATTAATTTTAAATCTGATCATTAGGATTGTGAGATCAGTTTACAATTTTTAGGCTGCAGTCCTGTGTTAAGCAGACCTCTGTATCTGCATGGAGCCTTGAGGCTCTGCACAGATGCAGGGGTCTGTTTGAATGGAGTTCAGTGTGGGATCAGGGCCTCACTGATTTAAGTGAAAGTTTAAATGAGTCCTATATCTATCAGGTAGTTCATTAATTAGAATAATGCTTGGTAAAATATTACTGAAAGATTGACTATTTATTTATGCTATCAACTTGATAATCAAGCTGCATCAATGCTTTATACCTTTCACTTTAAGCCATACATCTATAAAAATAGATCACTTTATATAGATACCTTCATAGCAGGAAAAGAACTAAATATGGCAATACAGCCAAGGAAGTAAAGTATGATATGAGAATGTCTTGAAATTCAGGATTGCTGTACAAAAACCTTTAAAGATGAACTAATGTTTTTTACATTCCAAGAGCTACAAGAGTTGATGGTGATCTTGCTATCACTGCAGAACGATGAGCTGCATTTCCTTTGGTTCTCTGGTTTTTGGTACTGTCACCAGCTCTTGTGAGGGGAAACAGAGCACCACTCATTTTTGGTGGCCATATATTCAAAAGGACTTAGCTTCCAGAAGCTCCCGTTGTTCTCAGTGGAAAGACTAGTGCTAAGCACTTATGAAACTCTGGCCATTAATCTGTTGGGATCTCTGTGCTGTGTAACGTACCAGATACACAATGCAAAATGGATGCAGTGCAGCCTCCCTTCGTGGGTGTGCATATCCACTTTGAAATTCTGGAATTGAAACCACTTCTGTGGCATGGGGGCTAAAAAAAGAGTGATTAAAGAGGTGTGGTTGGTTTTTTTTAAATCCACTCACCTTGAAAATTCGGATCCTTTTGTCTGTCTGTCTGTCTGTCTGTCTATCTATCTATCTATCTATCTATATGGGGCTAGTTCTTTACAATGTTAAATAAGATTATTTTCTTTTGGTAGATAACGGAACTTGGACTCAACTGTGGCTTGTATCTGAATACCACGAGCAAGGCTCCTTATTTGATTATTTAAACAGAAATGCGGTGACCATTGATAGTCTGATTAAGCTGGCACTTTCAATAGCTAGTGGTCTAGCACACCTTCATATGGAGATAGTTGGTACACAAGGTATTTGTATTTCTCTTTCATATATCCTTTTTAGGAAATATGAGTGGAAACTTTGGGTGGTATTTACAAAAATGCTTTAGCTTATTAGTCAGAAGGAATGGTAAAGACTTCTTTTACAAACAGTTTGGTATCTTAGTAGCTGTCTTTAAAGATTGTAAAATAAATTAAATAGAACCCTAAATGTAGACGGTGCTTTATAAATAGAGAGTAAGACACATTATATTTTTAGTGGTGCTTGCAGTCTACACAGCTGCCAAAACATCTAGCAGTACAAATTCTGCAAATTTTCGAGTGGCATAAAATTAATTGAATTTAATTTCAAACAGTGTAAGGAATATTATACTGATTTTCATTTTCATTTCATTGTCATCATTTTAATTAAATTATACAACGGAGGTTTTTATTTATCTGAAGCTCCCACAAGTTCTCCAGTCCACTCCACTGGAGTGCCACAGAATCCAGGGGATTCTCCTGTGTTGACTAGTTTTTTTTACATGTCCATTGGAGAACCTGGGATATAAGAGGCATGCACTAGCCAATGCATAGCTGAGTAGAATAGAAGCATGGAGAACAAGATATTTTTGGTTCTTGAAACATGACTACAGTTTGGGAATAAAGGAAATGTATGAACAAAAGATGCCTTCGTTAGGCTCCTCTGGTTAGCATTGGCACACATCCAGAAACTCTATTTTGTGCTAAATACAGCCCTAATTTTTCTATGTTGAGATGGGGGATGTCAGTAAACAAGCTATGTTTTAAGATTCACATTAATGCTTTTAGTTGCCTTTTTGTCTTAACAGGCAAACCAGCTATTGCACACAGAGATCTGAAATCTAAGAACATCTTAGTGAAAAAAAATGAAACCTGTGCCATTGCAGATTTAGGACTTGCTGTGAGACATGATGCTGTATTGAACACAATTGACATACCTCAGAATCCTAGAGTGGGAACAAAGAGGTAAGACATTTTAAATAGACAAGATAAGTATTTTTCCATAAATATTAGGGAATATCTTTTCAGTGTGATTTCCATTTCTGTGCAATTTCTGAGTACTGTATGAAGCAGGCATGCTGTCATAAATATACAGCTAAGAGTAGCATAAAATCCCTCCTTTACCTGTAAGGGGTTAAGAAGCTCAAATAACCTGGTTGGCACCTGACCAAAAGGACCAATAAGGAAAGAAGATACTTTCAAATCGGGGGGGGGGGGGGGGGGAAGGGGAGCTTTAAGTATCTGGTTAATATGAATACTAAAGCTAGTCAGATGAAAGACTAGTTGTTAAACACCTTATCACAGGGTGACATTGGTCCTTTAAGTGGGAGCTGGGCCTGTGCACTTGTGCCTTATCAGCACACTGCAATTTGGCCAGGGCTAAGAGGGCACCTGGGTGTAGAGCAAGGAGAAAAGAGACCTGGTGAATCAGAGATGCCTAAGTGGGAGTCAAGGGCATGGGAGAGATGTCTGTGGAAGGTCCCAGAAGGAAGCAGAAGGTGTTTCCTGGGGGAAGGCTGGAGGCAAGAAGAGCAGCAAGAGGGGTTTGCTGGCTGGCATCCCCAGGCCAGGGCTGAAGGCAAGAGCCAGAGCAGAGGGGAGTTGCCTGCCGGCTGGCTCTAAGCTGGAGAGCTAGAGCCGAGGCCAGAGAGGGCTGAAGGTGGGGGAGCAGCGGAAGAGCTTACCTGCTGACATCTCCAGGGCTGGAGTCAAGAGCGAGCTAGGACGAGTGAGGGATGCTTCCCTGGCAAGGATGCTCCCATCAGAGAGGCTCTCTGGGGGTGGGTGGGGATACTTGCTGGGAAGAGCAGGGTTGTACTCCATTTTGAAGGCCTGGAGTGGCTGTCATGGTACAAGGACAGAAGAGGGCTCACAGGGAGTCCAGCCATGGTCAAAGGGGCCTGTGTGTGGTATGTGGGGCATCAAGAGACAAGATGTCTGGAGTTTTAATGACTGCTTGCACTAGCATGAGAAATGTACTATATGTTTGGGACTTATATTTTGGACCATTTGTTATAACCAGCCCTAAGGAGGGTGGTTGTGTAGCAAGAGAGCCTGAAGTGGAGTTAGGGACTCTAAAAAAGGGAAACTGAGGCAGACATGCCTGTCATGCCGCAACCTGTTGCAGGAGGGCACTCCGGGCGGGGCTGCCACCTTATGCACCCCACATATCTTTAGGTCCTCCTGCCCACGGTGATGACAACCGCATTGCATCCTGTCAGCACTCTTGGGGGTAGTAACTGCAACATGTTTGCATCCTTGACTGCATGCTCAGCTGCTACCTTTACTCCACTCTTTACTGTGGTCAGAATTCATTTTCATTCACTCTCAAGTCTTTGGTGCTTTTCCACACTAATTTCATTACATTCAATTAGTTTGTCTTGTAGAGCACAGTTTATTAATGAAAAGCAAAATAAGCATTGAGATGGAATATAAAGGGAGATAGAATAAAGCTCTTTGGCCAGTGTAGCTACCTACCTCTCTCACTTGCATGGCTATTAATCATTTAGCAACATGTAAAGATTTTCATCATAGAAAGTCCCTTGTTTGACACGCTAGTCAATGACACGCTGACGCTAGTCAATGGTAATTGAGGATGGCTCTCCAACATGTTGTTCCCAACCCTCTCCATGTCAAATACTAGAATCTTTGTTAGAACTTTTGTAAATTGTGCATGTGTGTGTAACTTGTTTTAAAGGTACATGGCTCCTGAAATACTTGATGATGTAATGAACATGAGCATCTTTGAGTCCTTCAAACGTGCAGACATATACTCTCTTGGTCTGGTGTACTGGGAGATATCACGAAGATGCTCAATTGGAGGTAAAATTTTTGGCTGTTTTGTGTTGCATTCCAGACTTGATAAAAATAATTTAAAGAATTTTAAAGGAAATATGTTCATACAATGTATGAACATCATTTTTAACTGAATTTTCCAGATTGTGGAAGGAGAAAGAGTTGTATGACTTAAAAATTTCCTGTTGAGCAATTACTGATATGAAAGAGTTAACAAGTGAATAAATAGCAGTTAATGCCTAGCTGATTTAATTATTCTGAAATATCAAAAGCAACAAAACAGATATGTAAATTATTTTTCACTTCCCCTGTCAAAGAAACTAATGTATATAGTAGAACTCATTAGAAAACCAGTTCCTCCCATGCAGTTTCCCTACTGATCGGTTTCCAATCTGCAGGAAGTTTATCTTTCAAAATCTTGATCTGAAAAAACCCACAAAACTAACCTCCCATGATGATGAACTTGTGTGCTGGCAATATGAAAATAAGGGACTCATATTATCAGGGAATGCAATAGACCTGCTCACATTCTGCAGAGTTTAGGTCGCAAGGGTTGGCAACAAAGGAAACCTCTACTAGTTTGGATTTTATATGGTTCTGAACCAAGAAGATGAAACTCCATTCTCTCCCCACTTCAGCCAGATCTTCTTTACCCCTGAGCCCCATTCTCCCAAGGACCCAAGACCATTCACCTTATCTTTTGTTATCTTTAGTGTTATCTTTGTTATCTTTAGTGGGCTTCTTCCCAGGGCTGCCTCCAACCAAGTCTTTTTGGCCTATCTACTGCTGAAATCCAAAAGGTTTTCTGGTGAAGGGGGTAAGGCTCTTCCATCCCAGAACTCAACAGGTGTATCTAAATGAGTGAGCACAAGGACAGTGATGTTTAGTATGGAACCTAGTTAGAGATTATCGTTTCTTTTTCCTCTTGTAGGAATCATTGAGGAGTACCAATTGCCTTATTATGATGTTGTGCCTTCAGATCCCTCAATAGAAGATATGAGAAGGGTAGTTTGTGAACAGAAACTTAGACCAAATATCCCAAACCAGTGGCAAAGTTGTGAGGTGAGTTCCCTCCCCACCCCCCCATTTTTAGAAGAATATTTAAATGTATTCTTTAAGGCTGAGATTTTCAAAGTAGCCCAAGGGAATTAGGTGCCAGACTTCTATTGTATTTCAATGGGATTTGGATGTCTAGCTTTTTAGCTGGCAGAAGCAAGGGGCTTTTGAAAAGCGTGAAAGAACTTAAATGTGCAGGTTGGGTCACTCTGGAGCCAGTCGCTAACCCGAACCCCTCCATCTAGTATATGGGAAGGCAGCAGGCCTTAGGGAGGTGAGTAGTCCTGCCTCCGCCTTGTGTGCACTCTTGTACCCCTTTTCCCGCTCCCCCCACAAATACCCACTGCTGGGCATTGTGTGGCATCCCCTGATACCCATTCAAAACCCCTCCCCTGCTGAGTGCAAGAAAGCGGCATTTTTAAGATGAATCTAGTGAAATGGACCTGACAGCACTGAATATCAAAGTACTCTTTTTCTCTTTGACTGAACCAAAACAATGAGGTAACTTTTCTGTCATTTCTGCTGGAATATTATTTCAAAGTACACCTGGCATTGGAGTATTTTTAATTGATTGCTGCACCGAAGCAGTGGATTTTTAATCATAAACCTCTTTTTCTTTGTCTTAAGGCACTCCGAATCATGGGTAGAATAATGCGTGAGTGCTGGTATGCTAATGGGACAGCTCGACTGACTGCGCTCCGCATTAAGAAGACTATTTCACAGCTCTGTGTACATGAAGATTCGAAAGCCTAAATGGGTGATTTGTGGGAAGGAGGAAGGAATCACTCTCCATCTTTTTACATGTGATTTTTTTTTTCTGTCTACCTCACATATATACAGTGCAGTATTTAAGTGCCCAAACCACAGCACTGAAAAATAACTTCATAGTTGACTACAACCAGCTGCAGCTTTTAGTTGGTTTTGCTGTTTTTATAAAGCAAATCACCAACTCCTGTTGGTTTTTAAAATGCAAGTTGATATTAAGAGCTATGAAACAACATTCCATATTTAAACTATTTTATGATTTTTAAGCTTTTTATTCTAGTTAAAACCAAAATACACTGTTGATGGAATGTATGGGTTTAAAGACAGGTATGCAAAAGAAACCACATATGTTTTAGCCTCAAACCAAAAACAGGCCAAATTCATTGAGCTTCTTAGGTGTTTTCCCATAGAATCCCGTAGAATATATTACAATAAAGTGCATTTATATGTTTTTATATTATATTTATCATTTAGTAACCAAACAAATAAGAATGTTCCACTGAAAATTTATACTGTGAAGCTAAAGTAAACATGTGAGTCAGTCAGTCTCTCTCTCTCTCTCTTTCTTTTAAAATATTTGTTATTAACAGCTCCATTTGCAACACCATAGTTAAGGTTTGGTGGTATTTTTGTTATGTACCCCTATTTCAGGGATTAATCAAACATCCATAAACACCTACTCTGAGCTAACTGTTTCAAAATATCAACCAAGGACCATTTTTTCTTTTTATCAAATTGAGGAAAAGTAATTTGGGCAGTATTTCCTGGTATTTGTGGGGAAAAATTATAGGAATGCTACAGTGTAATCTAAAAAGCATGCATTTTTAATCAACCTTTTTATAGACCATTATTCAATGTTTTAGTGTCTGTCAGATCTTCTCACTACGCAAAATACCAAAAAAGTTATTTGCTGTAAGAGCACAATGTATTGGGTGAAATTGATCCAGCTGCAGAGACTCATACAAGCTAACCTGTACCCCGTATACACCAGCACAGATGTTTGTGTTTGAGGGGGGCCAGGGTGAAGTCCACAAGATTTGTAACTGTGAACCAGCAGCAATCACACTGTGAGTGAGTGGTACAGACAGTGCTCACAGAGGTGGTTCTAGCCCATTGGGGACCCTATGCAGGAATATTTTGGCCCGCCCCCACACAACACATAATAAAAAGTGACTGGGGGCCCCCTTGATCTGCTCAGGGCCCTAAGCAATTGCTTAGTCTGCTTATGCCTAGTGCCAGCGCTGAGCGTTCAAGACTATAGGTTGGAGCAGTAGTACTCATTAATGGCTGTATTGCAGTTCCTGTGCTCTGACCTGGCTTTGGGGCATGTATTTCCCTCCCACAAACCACTTCCCCCATACTTAAATTATTTTGTAAAAGTCCAATCCACTCTGCAGACACAGGAACTTCTTCAATGTTTCTAGCACAGGAATGTAATAAGCATGTGCAACAGTTGAAGAAAATCTGTGGATTTAAAGAGCCAAGGGTGCCAGAATCTTTGTGGGGGGGTGGAGGGGCGGCACTGGTGCAGGAACTGGAAGGGTCAGGGGACCATTTCCCCCATATTTTTTAACATGAGTATAGTTTGGGGGGCTGCGTTAGCGTCCCTCTCCCTCCCCCCCCCAGACTGCAAGCCTGGGGCAGGTGTAGAGCAATGCTAGCAGGGGCTGCACTTTGTGGTGGCGTTGCCTCCCCAAATTGCAAGCCTTGGGCAGGCATGGAGTAGCACTGGTAAGGGGCTCTGCTTCACAGGGGGAAGGGGCGGAGCTGATCACCCCCCCACTGCAAAGTGAAGCTCCTGCTGGTGCCACTTTAAGCCTGCCCAAGGCTTGCAGTTTGGGGGGGCAATACCACCCCTACCCCTCAAACTACACCCATGTTAAAAAGTGTGTGGGGGGGCCCTGCCCCCCCCCGGTTCCGGCATCATTGTCCAAAAGTGCTCATTGACATAAGGCCGTTCTGATTTCTTCAGAAGGGTCAAATATGCATCTCATTAACGGCCCCAGGGTATCAGGTAAATAACTAACAGGACATCAAAACAATCCCTGAATAGTTATTTTCACCATAATGTTAGCTTACAAAAGTGTAGTATCAGTAGGCATTTTCAAAGGTTCGTAAATATTCTGGTATTTCATGATTTCCTGTAATGGATTAGAAGGCATGTGGATGAGTAACTGTCATAAACTTTGAGACAGATTCTGTTCATAAGTCTTTGATTTTGTTTTATTACAAAAATAATTTCTTATACCCATTGTAAACACAGTTTAAATATATATATATATATATATATATTAAACCCACAAAATCCAGGAAATATAAAATTAGATCTACAAATCTCTTCACAACACCTCTGATTTGGGGCAATATGGTCTTTTATTATGGTGTAGAGAGAGGAGGAAATCTTTACAAGAGATCTTACATAGCATATAGATACTCGATAGTTTTTGTGAGTGTGACTAATCTCTGTCATTGGGTCTTGTGGAAAACCAGGAATGTAGCCTTCAGTCAGCAGTGTCAGTGATCCTTGTTTTATCCTGACATGTTGATTTCTGGTGCAGTGGATGTTGTTTGTTCTTTAAATCGATACTAGTGAGATGTAGCATACATGTTCATAGAATTTATACAGTCACTTTACACTGCTTAAAGTGAGGTGAAGATTTAGTTATTTGTGGCCCTTTAATTAGACTGAAGGGTAGAGCCCAGATTTGTAAAGGTATTTAGGTGTTGCTCCACTCAGCATTGCAATGCCTAACTGACTTAGGAGCCCAGTACCAATAAGTCACTTTTTAAAATAATAATTTTTAACATGAGGTAGCATGGCAGGCTAGACCATTCTAGATTTACACCTGGGCTTGCTGCACAGTAACAGGGCCTATCTACATGGCCAAAGTCTCATTTTAAAAAATGACAGTCAATGGGACTAGGCTCCTAAATCAGTTATGTATTGCAGTGCTGAGTAGAACAATGCCTAAATACCTTTAAAAATCTTAGACTCTGTCTAATGAATAGCTAGTAAGTTTTATTTATGTATGTTTTGATTTAAAGTCAAACTGAATATATATTTTTAATATTTTTATATGTTCCATATGTGTAAATTATACCAGGCAGTTTTGTCACATGCACACTTTCTAATCTACAATATTTATTTGAAAATTAAATGAAAAGTAACCAACCACTACAATTCTGTTACAAGAGAATTGTTTTAGTCCTGTGTTTTATCTGTTTACAAATTTTAAAGATGATTTGGATCTTTTTAATATCAGCGAATGTGAAAAAATAGAAGAATCCAGCATATGAGCTCGTACACTGTAATTCAAAACCACTTGACAATTTTTGTTTTTAAATGCAAGGAATTTCTCTGTGAAAGGGCCTGATCCACCTCCCACTGAAGTTGATGGAAAGGCTCCTGTTGACTTCAGTGGGAGCTAGATCAAGCTCAAAGTACTTCCAATTACTTTTCAGATACGGTTTTATTAATATGAGGCTGTATTTTCAACGGTGATCAGTGCCTGCAATTGGGGCTAGATTTTCCAAAGTGCTCAGCATCCAGCAACTCCTATGTATTATTCTCACTATTCCCTTAGGCTTTATCCATATAATAAAGAAACAAAATATTTGTGAATTTCCCCTACAACACACTGACACCAAGAGAAAAAATTCAAAATGGTCTATAGCACAAAAATGATCTATTAAAAAGATGTCTAATATTCTTACTCAAAATCACTTTTGGTATTCTGAAATCCAGTGTAAACCCAATTATTTTAAGTAACTTTAAAAAATGGCTCCAATGCAGTTTTGGATTCCTACTATTTGTTCTGTACTAATATTACTTTTCTGTGTACAGTATCTGATACTAAAATAAAAACTGAACCCACAACTGCCTTCCTCATAAGTTTTAATCTTGCACTTTTCCTTTTTTTAGTAACACGAAGTTGTGCTAGACCTGTTGTTGCATCAAATCTAGGCAGCATTTTTATTTAAACTGTGGAATTAAATCATGCACAGAGATAATTTTAAAGAAACAAGGCTGCTGCTGCTATTCTTTGGAGTGTGGCTTAGATGTGCATTGAACGCTACAGATAATAAAGATAGTATCCCTGCTAAGGATTTTCTATTCTAAGTAACTGTCCTTCATATATAAGCATAACTCCCATGTTAGATTTCTATTATAAATATTATGTGCTTTTTAAATTCTATGCTGCAGATTGACTACTAAATGCTAGAAAATATCACCTCCCCAATCTAATTGCTACCCCACAAAATCCTAACATTTAGACTACATTAATTACAGTGGTTCATAGAATAAGATTACAGATGGAGCCAAGCACTTGCGGGATTCTGTAGTGCCCTAGTGAAAATACAGGCAACAAATGAATTTATCATGACATAGTAAAAGAAAGGAAACAAGTTTGATAGGAAATTTTCTGACTACAAAGAAAAACAAATAATTATATAATTCTACCTTTCCCACATCTGCTTTCATCTTCCAATGTGCAAAATAAATTGTCCTGCCTCTTACTAACTCATTTTATTCAAAATTGGTTTTCCAAGTCATGTCACTTCATTTTTTTTCATGCTCTCACTCTCTATATATAAATATAGGTTTATCTATTTTCTTAGCTGCATTTTCATGATTCTCTTTGTTTCCCTACTTCTTCAGTTTTTCTACCTCTTGCTTCTATCAGTTTAAGTCCTTTTTCTTTATTTATATTATTTTCTCCTTTTTTTGTTTGTTTCCATTTCCCTTATGGAAAAATCGTATAGAATTTAATAGAGGATTTAAAATGTTTCTGTAGAATTATTGAACCATCCTGGAATTTGAATGATATTCCTCCTAAAGAATTGTATAGGTTGCTTCAAAAAGATTTCCTAAATTTCCAGCCCAAGAGGAGACCTTTTTTTCTTTTTTGGTCTCTGCCCCAAGGTAAGCTCATTCTCTCTCTTTTTAAATCTGAGCAGATTGTGTATTGAGCCATTTTTGAGTTACAGTGGGGAAAACTCTACTTGTTTGTGAGAAGTGATTGAGTCTCCTGGTTTTCCTCATTTCTGGGACAGGGGCTATCTCAAACTAGTAGAATATTTCACAACTGAAAATTTTTTAATGTGTGGCCAACATAAAGAGGCACAAGTTACCAATTTCTGCTGCCTATTAATGGACCCAGGGACTCTT